AAGTGTACAAAAGTTAAATTTAGTGGCAAAATATGATAAGTCGAATATGGTAGCCGCGCGAAAATAATAAGTGCATAGCGTGTTTCGTAGAAGAGGTACGCTGTCAACAACTTGATTTTTTAACGAGCTAAAGCGCCCTATTGTGAAGTCAAGGCGTTTCCTCCATTCAGCGGCAAGTCAATATAAAGTGCAAAGGCGCCTAATACGTTGCGAAGGCACTTAAATAAGGTATTCAGTCATCAGCAGTCCTTGCGCTTCTTGCTAAAATATTCTCTTTTTGCAAAACGTGCCAGTGGAGCTGTTTTTAAGATGCTCTAGAGCGCGATCGTAGCATGTGATGTTACAGAAAAAAAAGCAATACGAATTAGAAGGCTAAGCCGTAGGCTTAAAGTAGGCTTAAAGAGTACACCTTTTCTCAATGAAATGAAATCGAGATGTCAACAAGAGACAATAAAATTGAAGCAAATGTGCAAATATGATGTCCGTTAGGAAAAAGCTTTAAAGTTTATCGATTGGGACCAATGCCCATAACTCTTAACAAACTTAGCACGCTTTTTACGATGTTACATACAAATTATTTAGGTTAACATAATTTTTGCATCTTTTAAGTGATAAAATAGATACAAATAGAGGAAAACAATTTTTTTCCTATAATTAAGAAGAAAAAGGAAAATTGGCTTTATTATAATCAACCAAAAATTAGATTGAATTTTCTAAAATATATTCACAAATTGTATTCACTAATATGTCATGCATGACTTAAATTTATGTAAATATATAATTGTAAAACTTTTTGAGAGAAAAAACTCGAGAAGAATTATAATAACTTATGTAAAACTTTCCTTATAGTATTTCTCCTTTTTGACTAAATACCTTTAAGGGATTTAACTAGACACACTAAAGCAATACAACAGGCAGTGGCGACATTGTCGTCATACTTCGCAACATAAATATTAGTATAAATCAATGTACATACATGTACATGCCCAAGCCCGAGGTTTCTTAGTAAAGTCGCTGTAACGCGTCGGAAACGGCAGTCGCCGTAATACTCCCTTTATATGCCTATTCGTCTATGCTAACTAGCCGATCGTTAGTTAAAAATTTCTATATCATTAACATTACCATAACTTTTTGCCCGAGATGTGACAACGAAGGTTGTTCTAATTATACCCTACACCACTTGCGGAATAGTTTGCGTGGACGTGTGTAACACGCAAAACGGCTTCTGAATTTGTTGAAATTTGATATATTGACGTGCCTTGAAACAAGGAAAATGGCTTGGATCGATCCACTCTTCTAATCCCTGGCCATATAACCCCCTGTTTCGAAAAACTCATGGAAAAAAATTGCAATTTTGACAATTTCGCGACAAAACTCGCTCTATAATAGCATTTGGACATTCTAAATTGTTCTGAAAAATTTGGTTCGGCTGGATCAATTTTCTGAACCCTCTCTCATATAAACGTTCGTACGAAAAATGTGTAGTAAAGACTATAACTTTTAATATTTTATGGTGAAAATTAGTTCATAATACTAAATTGAATAGGAATCAACCTTTCAAAATGTGGACCATGCAGGTGTGTTATTTGTATACCAACCCTGATAACCATTATGCGAAAAAGTATGCCTTTGCCTAAAAATAATTTTAAACTTTTGATATATTATTACTGAAATGAGTGAACGAGTATTAGGCGGTTTGTTGTGGGATGTGTAATAGTCGACCTTATTCGACTATAAAGTTCTAACTTGTTTCTTACTATATACGAAATAGCATTAAAAAATATGCTTCCTCTGGAAACAACGCGATTCTGATCACTTGAAGAGGGTAAAAAATGAAAGGCAACCGGAAAAAAAACACTGGAAATATGTAAACCTGAAAAGAGAGCAGGATAAAGAAGATAAGCGAATAACTAACATACAAGAAGATATAGCACAGAAAAAATATTATCGCTGCGAATAAGGATAATTATGGTTAGAAAGAAATTTGTGTTTATAAAGTAATGATCGCAAACTTGAGAATAAACTCTTGTAAAAGACATGCAAATTTGGGAAGGAAAAGAGGAAATCAAAAATCGAAGTAAAGCCGTCAATTTTCAATCTGCTGCAGGATAGAGAAAACTTATTTTAATCTTTAAGTTTATTTTGTGGGAAAAAGGGTGCGCCTTCGGAAGAAATTTAAAGGGCAAATAGCAATGGGCAGGGATGCCTCTGTACACAAGTTTTCCTTTCTTTATCTACAAACACTCGGCGAGTAATTACGGGCTTAATTGCCATACCTCGTAGATAGTTCTATTTTCTGACATATGTATGGCATTGTAAATGTGAAGTAAATACGTTCATATATTCTATGTCTGGAACTTTTTCTTTGTATTGATATTCAAGCATTGTGTTTGCATATAAGCATGGCTTATAAACGTGCGCATATGCCTGCGTCCGTATTCTGTCTTCGAGAGATGAATACATTGCACATCAAACATTAATATTAACAAATAAAACCACACTAAGAATATCCTGTAGCTAAATTAAAAACTGCTGGCAGTAATTTATGTTATTAATTTGTATTTTATAGCAAATTAAAGCTACAAAATGGATAAAATTTATTCAACTTCCCATTATCAAGTTTCAATAATTTCTCGTTTTTATATTATAAACTTTTTTTTTTTTAAATGTGGTAGTAACTCCTTTTATATCAAGTACAGTGTATTTTCTTGTAGATTCCTTAACCAGCTTAAAGAAAGTAAGACTTCTTTGCTTACATAAACGGCAACTTGCCTTTTTCGATTTTGAATTTGGATGATTTACTGGAGATATACAATTAATCAGAACTGCTTGCATCTATATTTACATCTTTTCAAGGATTCTTTCATGAAGCAGTTATACAGCAGTTTCACAACGTTTATTAAAATAAACCTCTTAACTTCCAACGAAAAAATCGATACTAATGAAAGCTAATTCGAGTCAAACTTGGATATCCGCTACTTCAATCTTATATAATAATTAGTCTTCACATAACTAGCTTTTTTGCGACTCTGGAACCGATTCATGTGAGTGCATATGAGCACGTATGAAATTTTAAATCCGAAACGAATTCAATCTATGTCAATTTATGTCTGTTTATATCTGGTAAGTGAAGTTCAGTCAAGTTAGTTTACAATTTCTTGACAACGCTGGAAAGAAAGAAATTTCGACACAGTCTCTGGGACAAGACTTTCCCACTTATACTTACAGTAATAGTTGAGCCACTACGCCATATAAATCGTTCCAGTTGTTACAAACAGAATGACAAAGCCAGAGCAGCAATATTTTATAGGGCCGGATATAAGAATCTGCAAAAAAATTATATACGTACATAAACAGTTTATTATACTTTGATTAAATTTATGCCAAAAATTTTGCAACATATAACAACTACAAAATGTTTGCGTAATATTAGAGCTCGGCAAAATTTGTATGAAATATGCAAAAATCCATCTGCAAGGGAGAGTTTATAAGATTATTAAATAATATTTATTCTCCCAACAAACTGAACAATTTTAAACTTCAACTTAGAAGAGAATAAAATAGCTCATCCAAAAAGTATGTATATTTTTATACATAGTTCAAGTTTTTGCAAATGTATGTTGTTAGACTATCAATTTTTACTTATTTTCCAATAACAAGAACAGCTTGCGATTGTAAACGAAAATATTGTCAATATCTTGCTTTTAGAAAATACGCAATAAATTCTAGTAAATGTCAAGTTTTGGTTCCTACAGATTACATTTCTTAAGAGGAAGTGTACATATTTCTGTCTCTTGTAGAACTTAAAATACAAAACCTTCAAACAATTCAATCTAAAGTTTAGGAGTCCGAAATTAGAAAGCAATTCAATTTTATGAGATATTTACCTATACAAGCAAAATAAAATACAAAAACATGCAAATAACTTAATCATCAAACAAAACAAACTATCTGCATAGTTACATCAGAGCATTTACACTAGAGCAGAGAGAAGTAAGCTTAACGATGGAAAAAGATGAGAAAAAGATGTAATTTTTTGACATCTTCTAAAATTTACGATTGTTTGAAAAATTTTTAACACTTCCATGCACACAGACGAATGCCCAATTAATATACAAAATCGTATTCAGCATTTGAACTTTACGGAAATTTTTGCCAAGAAAATTATTTCACACAAAACACAAGCCAAACGTATGCAAAGAATTTCGCCTGCTCTTTGCATTCATATGTATAGTGAAAAAAACAGACATATAGAGGATAGAATAGTTTTTCGAGAATCTGCAATAAGGTTTACAAACAAAATGGTTTTCGTAAGAGAAGTTGAAATTGCTAACAAGAGATAATCACGTATTTGAGATTAAATTTCTATGTTTATTCATCAAATATATATATATATATATATATATATACTATATATACTGCATATGTAAGCAGATGCACGCTCATTGCTAACAATTTAAATGCTAAAAGTGCAAAAGGAGAAAAATAAACAAACTTGCAATAAAATCATTTAAATTCTAATGAAACAATGGACGATATTTAATGGAACTAATTAAAAATTCATTTCATAAAATCTAGTAAGCAACTCGCAAAAGCAATAATCTTTTCTGCTCTTTCTGTGTTTACCTGTAAAATACAAAACATTATTATTTGGTTTTAAGCAAAAAAAATATATTAATTTATTGGGTAATTTAAACCCGCAAAGAGAAAAATTTTCTTCGCTAACTTTAGGAAATTCGAAGTTCGCTCATTTACTTACTCTCTCAAGTTATGAATTTCGAGGTTCCCACAAACGGCATCGTTGACAAAATAAAGAATTTCTTAGCATATTTTTCGGCTTAAAGTACTAACACGCCAGCTTAACTGTAAAAACTTAATACTGGAAAAGAATACTTATTTCGAACTTAATACTTTAGGAGTTTGAGTAAATGTTAAACTTGTACGAGGTGAATATATTTATAATTGATACTTTATTATTGGTTTCTTTTGTCTACTTTTAGGGGTGGACCTGGCCTAAGATGGGGAGCATGCTATTTGCAGCTGTGTTCATAGCGTTACATTTTGCCACCGGCGGCCTGGCCAACCCAGATGCAAAACGTTTATACGACGACCTCTTAAGCAACTACAATCGTTTAATACGGCCTGTTGGCAATAATTCTGATCGTTTAACGGTCAAAATGGGTTTACGTTTATCACAATTAATCGATGTTGTAAGTATAGCCTTAATATATAAAAATTTTAAAGAAAAAACCAACAATTATCTATTAGCTCGCGCGTATATCCACCATCAGAATGACATTTTATTCAACCTGATCGCCCCTGCGAAGTTTCTCTTTCTGTTGGGTGGACGGATATCCTTTTACTAATTGCAACTCTTTTTGCACAAACTGCTGTCATGTTGTCGTTCATATTTCAGTTAAGCTGTCAATAGTATGACGTCAAAGAAGGATTTTTGGAGTTCGTTTACATTATTTTGTCGCATGCTTTAGTTGACGCACAACCAGAACGACGTTCAATTAAAGTTAGCGACACTGAAGCAAGCTTTCCACTTTAATGTTGCAAATCTTATAGCTTCACCGTACAGACAATCGGTTCGTAGCAGACAAGGAGTCTGAATTTACATGCGGAACGTAGCCCAAGCGTAGCACTATTGCCAGTGATGCAATTAATTTCCAGACAATATTTTCCTTAAAAGACTGAATATCTTTAAAAAATCGATTTAAATTTTTCTAAATATTCGTGTTTTGGTGTCGAAAACCTCTACTCCCGCATTGTCAGTTGATTGCTATTTATTGTAGAGTTTTTTGCGCTATTTTCACAAATACTTTCGTCATTATTCGAGGATTTGTCACTTCTAACTAAGTTATAATGGGCTTTTGGAGTACGACGCAGTCGCAGTCACAGAAATTCAATAATTTCTACTGCTTCAACCAAACGATGGCGATGTTAATTTTTTGAGTAATTATTGCATTGTACAGCATCCAACGAGGAGATAATTTTTCACGGCTAAGTATTCAAGTACTATGTAATGTCTTGGAATGGTTCCATCTTAGCAGGTGTCTCATGATGTTCTTATTTTACCATATTGTGTACAATACTATATACAAATGTTGTATTTAAAGGAAAACTATTGTGACACATAAATTAATAAAGCCACAAAACATATCTATATTAGAGCTGATCATCGAAAGCGAAAATCATTCTGTAAAACCTCATCGTTGATCATAAACTGACACTGGTTTATAAAGATTATTCAATGCTTTCCCTGAAAACTTTAACAAGTTAATACCGTTTTTTCAACGCATTAAGGCCTTTAACAAAAACACGTACGTATATTAAACTTTACGATAATAAAGAACAAGAATCAAATCGCACCTAGAAATAGCGAAAGTGAAATAAATTGTTTGTACCTTTTATGCGAATCTTCAGATAATATTACACCACGATTGCATTAATCTATCACAGATATATGTTTGCAACCATAAATACTGCTCGTTTGTGAATTGCTTTTGAGACTCCGTACGTTCATGCATGTTGCGGAATAAAGTTAACGTACTCTGTTATCGGCATTACCTAATTGCACTTTGCCTTTTCGCTTATGTAAATCGCAGTTTTAACCAATCTCTACAATAACTTAGGACGTAATCTTTTACGTTCAGAATATAATAATTCACGGAAACATCGTCAAGGTAATTTCTCTTCATTTTAAAGAGATCTGGCTTCAAAATAGGATTGGCGACTAATGATACTTCGTCTTCGTCACGTTTTCCTGAACCATATTGAAGGCTGCAACGTAATTAAAGAAAAATGATTAGAAAAGACAACCATAGCTCGTCGAGGCTGACTATTAACACTAAAATTAACGACGCTTATAAGGACACCTACTTTTACTAAATGAAACTAATTTGATCCCTTTTTTTTGTGATATGGTTGCTTTATGTTCGCTTGATCTGTTTTCGAGGTGGCTTTGTTTTCTTATTTATGCTGGTCGTGCATGTCAGGTTCGGGTATTAAATTTTCGGACCTAATTTATTTCCATAGGATTCCTGCTTTTCTAAGCCATATAACTCTCTCAGCAACGGACAGGCAGGTAAACGGATAAATTTGATAAGTTATTCGTGACGTTGCATACGCTCATAAAAGTTGAATATACTTCTTTCGCAAACGGTGCAGGTTATGAAAAATCGCTGAAAAGTTTCCTTATGCTGTTCAAGAAGAATGGGGGTAAGGTTAAGAACAGAGAACGCTGATTAAGAAGTTTGAAGAGGCAAGGAATAAGAAAAATTTCAGCAGTTCACAAAAACGATGGAAAAAGAAACGAAGGTAATTCACGCAATCGTGAGAACTGATCCAAAATAACAGAGATCAATGCAAAAAGATCAATCTGAAGTCCGAAAAAAAACGTCCTTTGGCGCGAATTGTGTTAGTTCCTGTAATATAACACGTTAATGTTTATGATAAATTACTCCTACTTTCATTTCACTGATAATTGTTTAAAAGGTTTTTCGCTCTGTTGGTAATTGCGTTATACGTACGAAAATGTTTTTATTGAAATTTCTGTTTCAACATACATTTAATTATGCACAATTTTTGTTCAACTTTTGTATTAATTGGATTTTTCATGAAAATCGTCAGGTGTATTACACCAAATTGCAACTAAAATGCAAAACATTAAACGAAAACAACAAAGGCATCGACAATATGCCTGCAAAATAGTTCGACTATTGATTTTTCGTCAATGATAACTGAATGAGTTCTATCATCGAGCCTGAGGTGCCAACTTATAGGTATAGTGTGTAATCGAGTTGAATAGCATTGAAGTACTGCCAAGCATGGAGAAAAGAGAACCAAAAGAAAAAGAAGTTATATTCGATCCGTTCCGAATACTTTAATATATGTAACAAGCACCAAGATTCTTGATTGAAAGGTGAAGAGAATATCCACTCCCCCAATATATAGTATAGTGTATATTATAAATGATTAAAACGAATTTTACACGGTCTGGCAGCATTTTATAGGTAATTTTACAATATATATTGTTTACTTGTTATTTACTTGATCGGAATTGGGCGGCTTTAGAAATTGACACCGAGGCATACATTTTTCATGTTAGTGGGCATGTCCTCGAGCCGTCTTTGGTAACATCCACAGCTAACGTAAAGAGAGTATCGTATAATAAGCATTGAGAGCTAGTAGCAGATTTTCTTTAGATGAAATTTTAATGTCATAATGACAATATCAATCGATAACGTTTGAAAAGCGGACAGACGGACAATCATGTCTAAATCGATTCGGAGTTTTCATATTGATCGAAACTATTTGCGCGTGGGACGGCGGTAGCGTTTTTTACACGTTACAAACATTTGATTGAACTAACATACCCACTCTGTGTTAGATGCTGAATGTTCAAGTGATTGAAAAACAATGACCATAAATTTAGGTTGACACTGCAAAATAAAGCACATTTTTATATCCCGCAAATACTCCCCTCATGTACTTTTCAATAAGGGTTTGCATTGCATCGTAGGATACGTATGGTGCCGAGACAATCGTTTAATTTATTATGGACTTTAGTTGAAGTCCTTCTTATATTTGTTTGTAATTTAATCACAAAATGCCACAACAAATGCCATTGATTACATGCTTGCATGTATGTGGACATGCAGAAATCCGAGTTTATTGTGTTTACGTGTTATGACTTTATGAGAGACACCCTTTAAAGATTAAATTCCCCACGCTGCCCATCCCTTGCTTGCTCATACGTACACTGATTGATTGTAAAACCACTATCAACAATGTCTTATCATGATGATGTAACTATGTCTGTTTGAATGTGTATTTGTGTGTGCGCATTTGTATGTGTTCAGAATGTTTAAAGAATACTTTATGGATAGCAGTGTTGTTATTGTTTTTGACTTAAGCGCGACTAAGTGAATAAAAGTGTCATAAAAGGGGTTATTTTTTTATTTAATGATCTTTGCAAGATGTGTATGCGAATATAAAATTGAAGTGCAGAATGCGTAATTCACGCATAGATTGGCACAAATATTTTTCAAGCGTTAAAAGTAATTTAATAAAAAAATTAAATATTGCAAGTATAGCTGACCTAAAAACGTTGCTCGCAACAAAGCAAAGGCGCTTAATAAAATTCAGTAAATTTGAACAATTTAATTAGAATTAGAAACAACAACATTTCAGATAAACGAATAATAAGAACTAATAAGCCGGCCTTTATTTTGGCCCATAATTTAATTTTTCTGATGGCTAAAAATAGATTTACTTTTTTGCTATCTATATATATAATCGCACTTGAGTAAATTGAATCTTATGGGGAAAGACAACGAATTTCGGTAAAGAAATTTAATTGTGGCACCGTTAGGAGGCAATAGGTTATACGTTCGAATTAGAAACTTGAACCCTTGTCTGAATTGCATTGAATAAATTTATAAAAAGGACGATTGATGCTCCCAGATGCTTATTAGATTTTATATCTTCGTAACGACCAGATGCCCTAATTGTCGTTGCAAGTATCGAGATTGAACATATATTTTTGTGGAAAGTTGGAATAATTGGATGTATCTTATCTGAAATTTTAAACTTTTCACTGTCTCTCTCTGGCATCCAGAAAAAGCGCATTACTATCGAGAAGCCGAAAAATACTCAATTCTTTTTAAAAATATTTGGATGCCGTCGATCAATAAGTAGTAGTAGAATTTTTCGACAAAAATTTGATAAAAAATGCAATATGCAGATGTAATGTATAAATGTTATAGATACTTTTCATACCCATCTTTTAAAATGCGGGTGAAGAAGACAAATATATATTTGGTTAATCTAAGATTTTGAGTCGACATACTCATTCGCTCCACCTCTTGTGTCACTCTGCCATTTTTGGTTGGAAGAAAAAGTATTGGTTCATAGCAAATATTATTCCATTGTTGCAATTATTTCGCAAACTGATCTAGTGTGTGACTATAAACATAATCCCAATCGTGTAACTGCCTCCCTTACATTAGAGAAACTTTTTTCAAAATTTTATGTAGTTACAAAGCGAACATAACATATTTGCGTTTTGATTTGTGCTGGCCCCTGTCTCCACTTCTCCTTTGCAATTACCGCCTTTAATTTTAAAAATGCATTGCAACAAACTGGAAACGAAAATGATAACATCTCACGAAGCGAGTACATTCTGTGAAAATAAGTGTGATCGCAAGCTATAATTATTCCCAACAAAGACGATCTTTGATGGCCAACGACGGTCTTCCGAAAGTTAGGATTGCTTCACTCAATTTAAATTTTTTCATTTTTGATCTCTTGTTCATCAATCCAAAAAGGAATCATATATATCGTTAAAGATCACATACCCGCGATATCCTTCATTGCCAATAACACTCACTAAGAAGCAAGCTTCTAGATTAGGTCTTCGCTGTTTTCAGGTTTTTTAATATTTTTTTATTACATGGCATATTGTCTTCGTACCACTCGTTGTACAAGGGGTGCTCGAAACAGTCCAGGAAGACTTTAGATTTATTACACGATCGACCGAGATTCACTTTTTGCATCAATCTTAGCGTCTCTGTCCATCTGCCCGTCTTGCTTCTTTTTTTTTTTGTTCAACCTAAAGACCGCAATTTTTGAAATTTTTTGATAAAATCTGGCACACGGACATGTCTTGAGCCACGGACGAACACTGTGGAAAATGATTCGGATCGCACTACTTTTTCGATCACTACCCATATAAACCAGTACTTTGAAAAAGACGTTGCATGAATAACTGTAACGTAGTGTAAGGTACGTAATGTTGAGCCGTGGCCAGCAATAGAGCTTTTACTTCTTTATCGGCTAAATTCTTTAATAACTTTAATGATTTATTCAAACTATTAAAGACTCGCATTAGACGATCAGATGCGTTTTATAAAAAATGGCATTTATTTTGATATCTTCGTTTATATTGAACATAAAATTTTTATTTTTAACTGCGTAAGGTTCTAATAAGGGGCTCTGACCAAACTTGTAACTCTCTAATTTTTTGTTCTTTGCTAACCGTATTTTAAAATATGAGAGAATCAAAGAGCTATTTCGATATCGTACTTATTAAGATCATGACCAATTTGATTTAAAGAATGAGTTGTGAAACATTTGCCCTGTTTCAGCTTTCAAGCTCAATTTCAGAAGAGACCAACGCGTATTCAGTAAATGCAATATAAGCTAACGTTGATATAAGATGCACGTACTAAATGCATCTACGGCTGCTGTCAAGAGGTTTATAGCGCCATTATAAATTGATGCGTTGCTGTTGAATATAAAAAAGATAAAGAAAATTAATATATGAACCAAGATATAAGTGCACTTGGTTTCTTAATTATCTTTCAAACTAAACATAAGCAAAGTATTTTAATAATAAGAAAATCATAAAAAAAAAACGGGAAAAAGAAAAAATTTTATTAGAAACGCCAATGCCTACTTACTCATATTTATCCATATCTAATGGTGTACATTGATAAGGTAGCAAGCATTTTTTCAAAGAACTTATTATTATAAGCTTTTTTAATCTACGAAGTAGATTAAAATTATTGAATGAAATATGGAATGCAATACCAATGTGTGTGTCGATTCACCTGTACGTGTGTGAGTAAATTAAAACCTTAGATAATAATAAAGAGCAAAGGTATTATATACCGTTTAAATCGAGCCGGCTGAGCCTTAAAATCTTAATATTTTTACCATGTTTTCCCTAAGGTATGCTTTACAGTGCAGACAATTTTTCACGCAAACGTAAAGCCAGGTTAATGGAACAACATGCTGAAGATATTCTATTCTCGCGACTCATCGCAAAGGCAGACGTAAAATGCCCTTCTTTTAAAAGTAACATGGAAAGATTACCAACGCTTTCGAATACGATCTAAGTAACATTCTTATCCACTACATGTCTCTTCTTTGTTTGCATGGGCATATGATAAGACGGTTAAAAATTTTTATAAAAAAATCGATTGTGGTGTGAAAGTCGATACGAAAACAAGACTGATAGTGTTAGTTAACGTTGTAAGAAGGGCTTTGACAAGGTAATTCAAATGATATGAACAGAAACACACCTAAAAAAAAAATTACTACGGTTATATTTAAAAAACTTCCCCGTATCTATTAAATGCTCTCAAATTATTTTTTAAGCAATGCTTAGTTTTACAACGACTTTGTGCGAAGAAATATTATCAAAATTTTCGGAAAGGAAAGGAGCAAAGGAGCGTTTTGCAGGCTACTGATGTTGGTAAAATAGGAAAATATTATCTCATATTCGAAGCGCAATTTCGTTGGACTGAACTGGCAAACGTGACAATGCTTCTATTTCAATTGTCTACAAATTCTCGCCGATTTATCATTCAAAATTCAATTGTATGGGAAATGTTTTACGCATACGAAGTTTTCTACGATTGGGCTTCATATGGGAGGTGTTAGCAAAAACGATCCGAACTGATCCATTAAATATAGCATTCGTTCTTGAAGAAAAATGTATTAGGGAACCAAATTTTAGGAAAATATCTCGCAAATTTCAATAGTGTGAACACAAAATACCCTTGCAGACATCAGGGAGACAGACAGATTTGAGTCGAAAGCGAAACTACTTCCAACCGTTCTAAATGTTGCATACATCCCTTCTTGGGTTAAATGCCGTGTGCGATATAAATGTTACGATAATAATAATTTATATGAGAATTGGGTACAAGTTATCTGCTATGGAAGCGCATGTATAATTTCCGCTAACTGTAACGCTGAAACTACGACACTACTTCTCAGAAAATAACAATATTGTCCTTGAAATTTTTTTCTTTTGAACTTTGACTTTGTAGAGCTAAACTTAATAGAAGGTCTCAGACTACCGGACACACTCTAAAGGATGTAAGTATGAATTGATTGTGTCATTTGGGCAGTTTATGGTGTCTCTTGTACGTATTTCTCCTCGGTATGATTAAGTATCCCTAGAGACAATCATATAAAACCACAGTAGTTGTTGTAGTGCTTGCGGTGTAGATACCTATGTGTTTTAAACGTGACTGCGTTTTATATAAGCTATCGCGTAAAAGTTCTTTGCCAAATGCGGTTTTGTCTTTTACTGACCATTGTAGCTAGACAATAGAGTTTTGTTTTAAATCTCTCTTTTCCGTTACTCTACTATTTTTGTACCTTTTACTATCAATTATGCGGTTCAAGCATACGTTGTTACTTCAGCTTATCCCTTATTTATCTTACGTATTTTTTAATTAAAAAATCATCATTGCAAAGAGGAAATTTTTTTCGCGGACGGCTGTTGATTTTTTCTGATTAGTGCTTGCGACTTCTTGCTTTTTTTTTTTTTTGTCCTTTTTCCATTAAAAAACATCTGGGAGCAAGAGATATTAATTAATATTGAAATATGGGTTCAGCTACAGTTAACCTTTGAAGAAACAAATTCAAAACATTATTAATATCATTATTTCTAAGAGAAAAGAACAAGAAAGAAAATCTACCCACAAGAGCAAGTAGAACAAGAAATGATAAGTAAAAATCACATCGCAACGCAGTGATCAATCAAAAAGAAGCTTGTTTGGAAACTAACATCCGTGATTTTTCAATTAATTGGACCTATAATTAACATTTAGAGCCTAGTAAAAAATCCTATTATATTATTACTTTACTATTTTTGAGATTAGTTAGCAATGCTTAGAAGTTTGTCAATCTGCGAGTGATCGCTTTCGCTTTCTTTGCTCTGAGAAACGTAGATTCAAGTTTTCTCTTAAAAACTGTACAACAATTTATTAATAATATAAATTATAATTATTATTGAGCAAAAAAAAAAATATATATATATATATATGTATTAAGAAGCACAGGCGCTCGTAGGGGATTCTAAAGTTTGGCAAACAGATTATTTAGAAAAAGGGCAATTTTTGCTTTCCGTAACTTGTTTGACAGCAGATATACAACTATTGGAATGCATATCAAGCTCATTTATAAACTTTCTTTCTAAATTCTTCCAGAATCTCAAAAATCAGATCATGACTACAAATGTATGGGTGGAACAGGTAAGCGTATAGTAACCATTAAAACTTCTTCTATTTTAATATGTAATGCAACTGCACACACATAAATCAAGCACGCAAATAAACGAGTTATTGCTCTTATTTACATATTTATCCGAATTAAACCTAATACGAAAATAAACAGCATTTTGATTAGTTTTCTTTACACATGCATAGATTGTGATGATGATGATGATGATGATATATAAACATATATTTCGAACAATAATAAAGAAATTCATTTCACCATAAGCAAATGGAGACCATTTTGCAATATTGATATTTTATTAAAACTAATATATTATGAGCAATTAGTTCAAGAAAAATTGAATGAAGTTAATTAAATTTTAATAATATATAATACAAAATTAAAAAAATGAAAAAAAGAAACGATTGGTCGCTTACAAATTTGTATGGGCGTAGCCGATTTTGCATATTTGTATACGTGACCAATATAGCCCTCCATAAAATAAATTTCAGCCTATGATTTCTTATAAATTTTGAGCTACAATATCCCTAAATTTTTGCTTTTTGTGTCCAAGTTAAGTTTCACTAGGGGCTCAAGAGAGGGGAGTGGAAATTGTTTACCACAGGCATTACACAGAGAGGCAGATGGACGAACATGTGTAAGTCGCCTTAGAATTTGACGCAAATCGGGAGTATATATTCTTTATAAGGTCTCTTGTGCTTCCTTCTCTGTGCGGTCCAAGCGTTTTGACAAAATGAGTGTACTCCTCGTCCTTCGGTGATGGGTATAGAAAGAAATCATTTTTAAATTTTGGTTTCAAAAACGACTTCGACAAAATTCGAAAAGCAAGAGTTCATACAACCTTGCTCGTGTTTTTTTTTTTTCATTTTTTGCTTTCCCCTAAATATTCAAGCATACTGTACTGTGTACTAAAGTTTTTACGAGAAAAAATTTTCCTCTATGTACACTACGCCACTTGGTATGGGATATAAGAAGTTTATGCGCACATAAGTAACACCCAGAGGCTTAAGATAGATCAACGTTTTACTATAGCGACCTTTTCAAAGCCATTTTCTGAATCATTTTCTGAATCGATCCAAGCTAGTCTGTCCGTCTGACATCTCTAGGTATTTTGGTTTTTGAACTACCCGTTGCAGGTTTTTCAGATATTTTGATAAAAGTTGGTACATTGACGTACCTTCACCAAGGACGAGCGCTATTGAAAACGGTTCGGATCGACCCACTTTTTCGACCGTTTCGCATATAAAGCCTTAGTTTGAAAAGTCGTTCTGTGGAAAAAAATTGCAATTTTCAAAATTTTAGTTGAAAAAGTTGGTTCGGCTAGGGCAACTTTTTTAAAATTTTAGGGACGGGTTTCATAATAGAACCTTTTTATTATAAAAAGATATAATTTTCAATACTTCATGGTGAAAATTGGTACACAATACTTAACTGGCAAAGAAGTCAGCCTCAACCAATTTCGGCCATGTAGGTCTGTTTTTTGAATACTACCGCATATAAGGATTTTCAGGAAATATAAACCTTTATATGCCAAGAAGGTCTAATGGTTAATGTTTTATGATGAAAACTTGTTTGCGATACTAATTTAACATATAAATTCATTGGACCAAATTTAATCAACATTGAGCAGCAGTCTATTTCTTAGATCCCACTTCATGATTTCCATGAATAGTATTACATTCAGAAAAAGTTTTAATTTTTAATATTTAGTGATGAAAATTGGTCTATAGTACGAAATTAATCAAAAAGTTTGACAAATGAGAATTTGGACACCTTATGACTATTTTTTAAATCCTAACATACATAAGGGTTATCATAGAAGACAACCTCTATACGGAGAGAAAGTCTAATTTCAACTTTTTTACGAAGAAAACTGAAATACCGTAATATTCCTAGGAAGTAAATTAAGTATGCACAATTTGGATCGCATCAGGTGGTGTTTCGGGCATCACCCAATATCCGGGACGCCATTGCATGAAACTAATGTTGAATTTTTTATGTGTTATTATCAAAACGAGTGAATAACTCGTACTCATCTAGCACAGAAGCACACCCGCAACCGGTACAGATCCGAATTGGGAGTGGACCCTAAGTCGTTGCAAACATGCAAACGCTTGTCGCCCAACACTAGAAATTGAGTTCATTTTCGACCCATGCGATAATATACAAATTGGAATTTTTAGATACTACATATAAAAAGTAGGCGTATGAAGAAGGGTCGCTTTGATAGAATTTAAAGAATCCTATATTGTGATCAAATTATAGGTATTACTTAGATTTTTGCAAAGGACTATAATTGAGTTAAAAAGTTCACGAAACGATTCGCAGCATTAAAGTTAATTGAGACAGGTAACAGAAGAAGGACAGTACCACTTATTAACTTAATTAAGAAGAAAATTCGAGGGTAAACGTACGTTTCTCAAGCGACGGTAAGAGTAATAACACTAATCTATTCTCATAAGGAGGCAAAAGGACGTGCGGGTCCCGACCAAAATTCCTAAGTTCTTTGTTTTGAATCTACGTAGCACCTGTAGGAGTGAGACCGCAAACGAGGCATACCCAAGTAATGGATGACTTTTTTTACGTAGGTGTAACCGTACTCTTTGGACTACCAGTCTTTAGTCGAGATCAACCTCTAAATTCATAAACGAAACTACATTTTCTAATTTTTGGAAAATTGCAATCAAGGCAGGAATAGCTACTTTTAATGGTTTCGCTCAAACAATTCATTGAAAAACGCAACACGTTTATAAGATGTTAGAGTAAGGACCATACAACAGGAACTACCGCTGTAACATCAAATTGCTTACAGTAAATTGAAGTCCTCCTATGATCACATTAGTAGATTATGACATTTCGACCGCATAACGCCAAATAAAGACAGCATGTCTTTTCTAAGTAGAAATTTCCGACTTTTGAGGAAGATTGGAACGAATGACATGTAAATGTTTATTATCAATTTTAACACTATTGATAAAAATTCGTCGTCGGGAGGAGTAGAAAATTCAAATGGGCAGGAGGCAACTAAAAACGTGAAAAAAATTTTAAAAAAGTTGCAACAAATGTAAATTAGGTTTGAGCCAAGTTTCAGTAAAAAAGCCCAACAGCCAAACTCTGTGCTCATTAAATTTAAGTAAGTGGTCTGAATTTTTGATTTTAGGCCCCTAAGATTTTGGTGAATGATAGTTACTGGGCCGGAAACCTTCAGTTTGTTTGTGGCTAAGGGAATTGCAGTATTACTCACTTTCAGTTGGAATTCAAATCTTAAACGGCTAGGCGGGTCTGGATTGAGACGGAGCCAATTTAAAAATGTTAATACGATTTAAATTGCCAGATGGGACGGCAGTTTTGACACAAATATCGCTTTGCAGTTTGGTGCTCTGCAGGTGCACCGGAACGGCTAGATGGAGAATAGGATCTATTATTTTTGCTTATATTTTCTGGGACTGAATTCGACTATTAACGCAGCTGACATGAAAGGCTGTTCGGCTTATTAGTATTATCAGCCAAGTTTATGGTGGGAGTAATGTTAATATTTTCTAAACGTCGCACGTTACCTTTCCCGGATTGGACACAAACACCATCGCTGACAGATGGGAGTATAGCAAGCAACCTAACCAAATGTTAGGGGTTCATGCGAAGTCGGATGTGAAGGACTACAAGCTACGTTGCATGTTCGTGTTTTACAAGCGGCACCAATCAAACAAGATTAGTTTTTTCAAATTTATCAAATGCCGTGAGCTCTTTATCGGTTTCCAGAAATTCCTTTTTCGTCTGCATTACAAGCTTATAAAAATTGATAATGCGCTTCGTGTAGTGTGGAGACCGAAGTAACCCTTTCATTAGATCCAAAATTGTGTCTACAGTGCGTCAAGTAAGACTATTTCGAGTAGCAATATCACTCGCAAAGCCGGCAAGTATCGAAGCGATCAGAGAAGCAATCAAAATTAAGAATTAGTTTTTCCCATAAAGAATGTAAAAGCACAACAAATAACCAATAAAATTGCAACGTGCAACGTGCAATCTATTTATAGACTGTGAGATCAGTTATATTAGTTTGGGGAAAAAGAAATCCATTATTTTTTCGGTAGATGGCTGCACTGATAGATTTCTCGTAAGGTATCGGTCAAACAATTTCAGATTTATGCTCGTTGGAAAGGTGACATTTCGCAGTAAAAAAAATTCTTTTGCTGTTTTTTGTTTGGTGCATTCAGTTGTGAGTTACAGCGTGCTAAAAATGGAAGTGAACAAAGAGAAAATTCGATACATTTTACAGTTTTTCTTTGACAAAGGCGAAAATGCAAGCCAGGCGGCTAAAATTGTGAATGGTGTTTATGGTTCCGATACTGTAACAGCCAATTATGTGCAATTTTGGTTTCGTAGATTCCGTTCAGGAATTTTTGATGTTAAAGATGCACCTCGCACAGGTAGGCCGGTCGTCGAAAATCTCGATAAAATCGGAGAAATGATCGAAGTTGACCGGCATGTTAGCAGTCGTAACATCGCCCAGGAGCTAAAAATCGACCATAAAACAGTTTTAAACCATTTACACAAAGCTGGATTCAAAAAGAAGCTCGATGTTTGGGTGCACACCAATTAACAGAAAAAAACATGATGGATCGAATTTCCAACTGCGAAGCCTTGGCCAAACGAAATGAGATAGACAGATGGTGACTGGAGATGAGAAATGGATCACATACGATAACCCTGTGCGAAAACGATCGTGATCAAAGAGCGGTGAAGCACCTCAAACGGCCAGGAAGGTTTTGCTATGCATTTGGTGGGACTGGAAGGGGGTTATTTATTATGAGTTGCTTCCATATGGCCAAACGCTAAATTCTGATCCCTACTGTCAACAACTGGACCGTTTGAAGATAGCGATTGACCAGAAACGGCCAGAATTGGCCAACAGGAGATGTGTCGTGTTCCACCAGGACAACGCTACGCCACACACATCTACAGTGACTCGCCAGAAACTTCGGGAGCTTGGTTGGGAAATTTTAATGCATCCGCCATACAGTCCGGACTTGACACCAAGCGATTATCATCTTTTTCTTGCATTGCAAAATTTCTTTAATGATAAAAAATTGGAATCTAGGGAGGATTGTGAAAATCGACTACTACAGTTTTTTGCAAATAGAGACCAGGACTTGATGAGAGAGGCATTTTGAAGTTACCTTTAAAATGGCAACAAATCATACAACAAAACGGTGCATATTTGACCCATATTTGACAATCCGAAGCATGTTAAATAAAGTCCTGAAGTTCATATAAAAATAATGGATTTCTTTTTCCCCAAACTAATATTAACAATAAACAGACTTTGACGACAAACAACATTATTAACCTGAAGCATTTGAACGGTACGGCCACAAATCTAAACCAAAATAAACGAAATTACCCCAAAAAAAAAAAAAAAAAAAACACAGACGAGAATACACACAAGAGCACCAATTGCTGACCGCAAAAACAAAATGATGGCAACACTTAAAAACAGTCCGATGGATTTAAACTGAAGTATAATTTAAAAATTTAACAACTACTCACAAATATTTGGACTTTAGACGGACTTTTTAATCAATCAAAACAATAAAATAAGAAAAAACTTACAGAATTTTGAGAATGTAAAAAGAACATGGCCACAACGCGCTTTTTCTATTCTTCTAAAATTCAGCAAATCAACAACAGATGGATTGACTGTGCGATGCATTATTTGTAGTTAAATTAGAGTATGCTCGTTTCCTTAGGAATTCTGGATACATTTCTCTGACAGTCGTTGGAGTTCTAGTGGGGCTGAAAAACAAACTTCTGTAGTTTCCTAATTTGGATCTAATGCTGGGTATACTTCGTACACAGAACAATGATGGGAATTTTATAGAATTTGCCCATCTCTCATTGAATGACATAGTATTTGCCGATTTCTGGTGTTTCAACCTTTGGAACTAGATCATGCCGAATATGTTTAGTTTGTGCACGAGTTTATAACGCCCAGGAGGACTCGAGATGAACCCACCTCGATTCGGAACATTCTCTGAATCTAGCTAATTTTTAATATTTTATAATGGTAATTGGTTTTTAATAAATTAACCAAAGCTGAAGCGTACAGATCCATTATTTAGACCGCACCATATATGGCGGTAGAATCTCATTTGCTGCTTGTTATAAGGGAAGTGAGTGAAAAATAATAAAATCTTTGAAAAATAAATTACGTTTGCTAAATTTAGACCCCGTTATGGCGCAACATATCTAATGGTCGACCTTGCCCGACAACAATGTTACTTGTTTTTATTTGACAAATCCAAAGAGCAAACTTAATCTGAAAGCCGATATCTAAATTTCACTTCTTAAATAACCAAAAACAAGGAAAATCACTCTGGTGGGACACGGCCCATCATGAAATACACTAAATCATTTTGCTAAAAGCATATAAAAGTATTCAAAATTGCGTATTATAAGGGATGCGTTCGCAATAGAGGATCTTAACCATTTTCAATAAAGTTCTTCCTTAGGCAAAATTACGTCGGTATAACAAGTTTGACCAAAATGCCTCAGAAATTGTGACATTTAGATTGAACACAAGAATGCAAAGCAGACGGACGAATGGTGAGATAGGTTTAGATCGATCGGAGAAGAGTTTTAAACCGGTAGGTATAATAGAAGGTTGTTTATCGTAAGTCCTTCTGTGTGCAGTTTACAGCCGCGTAAACTTAGTGTGTTCTTGTACTGTAAGTGCTTCACATTACAAAACACTCAAGATATTCTGCTGACCTGGGGGTTTTCTTAATGCCCATCTCTGAAACAGCTCAAAAATGCCTTATGCAATTACAATACATAATCTCTATGTATTGCTCCTTTTGGAAGCATTCATAGATTGCGAAAAGTTTCACATTTATTCAAAAGCTATCACCTAAGAATATAAGTAAGGAGTTTCCCTCTTCTTTTCAATGTTTACGATCGGTGTCGTTTAAACAATAAACGGGAAGACGAAAGGCGGATCTATGGACGTCTGAACACATTGGTGGATGAATACATGCATATAAGGCAATAGGCACAGATAAATGGACTCAATTGATGGATTGGCAAACGTACAGATAGACGGATGTAGAGAGCTATATCGACTCAGAACTTTGCTGCATATTTCTACACGAAATTGCTGAAGCTACATTATAGACGTTACAAGCCTAAGAACAAATGCGTTATGCGTTCTTTTACAGCAATGGGTATAAAATTGGAAATTTACTCGAGCAACCTCAAGTTTATTAGGTTCTTCGTTGCGTACTTCGGGAATAGCATTATTAACGTAAATCCTCTGTGCATTACTGGGTGCAATATTAAATGCGTTAGCAAATGCACATGTTTATGAATAGGGGATTAACCTACGATGAATAATTTTTACTACTCCATAAGCGGTGCATTAATGCAAACTCATATGCTTACATATTTGTACAGATGAATATGGCTTTCATGAATTTGTATAATATTATTTATAGCGTTAATAAAATTTCAATGAAACCGCAAAGTAATAATTAAAAATTCGTGAATTTATGTTAATAAATTTTTTGTATATATACATATATACATATACTTTTGTGTAAATATGCTATCAACTTAATAATGAAAACAGCGAAATTCCTTCGCTTTGCCTATACATAATGTCTTTGTAATTATTTAACCATAATTATGATCAGAATGTATGTAAATGATTAAATTTTAATTTCATATCAACAATAGATTAGCGAACATACTCTACCATTGCTAATTAATGCATAATTGATAATAGAAGACTAGCAGCAACAGCAACAGCAACAGCAGCAGCAGCATTAATAATAATAATAATAATCATAATAGCAATCGCGACAACGAGAACAATAAAAACAACACTTTATTGAATTACAAACTGCCTGTATACGCTAAACCAAAAGCAAACATATCTACATACGCTTAATAAATTCAAGTACTTCGGTACACGTGTGAAAGCAAACATGTTATATACATTGTCGTAATAAAATAAATAATTATATACAGATATGTTTGTTTGCTAAAACTTATTTTATAAGCCACTCATACAAACAGCTCTGTTCAAAATAATAGCAGAGAGATTTCACAATTTCGGTTAATTCGATCATCGCCTTGGTCGTGTGGTGTTTTGCAGAAGTTGCAAAAATTTGAAATATTTTTCAAAAGATCCTACCAATCTTTCATTGGATCACAATAACGGAGGTGAAACTTTGTCATGTTATTGAGAGCAACGTCAATTCGATTGTTCACAATTCGGGAATATAACATTAGAAAAGAGAAAAGTTTTAACAAACGGATTTATTAGAATCTGGCAGAAAGTAAATGCGATGGGCCCACTTGGTATTACAGACAAAACGTTGGAGGCATTGTCTTCGTAATTGTAAGCTCAACTTGTTGCAAGCATATATATGCGTCCATTCCAAAGGTTTCGGTAAAACACCTCTTAAGATGCACAGTGCGTTAAAGTTTTTTTTTATCTACGGCAATCAACAAGTTGAACACCAAACTTCGATTTTTGATCTCAATATTCGCAGTCGTAAAATTTGCAACACAACGCCACAGAACTTGTGGTGTCTGAGCCATTTCTCCGAATAATATAATCAACCACAGGTGATATGGAGCCGAGTGGGTTAGTCTTTCATAGTGCAATGTCGAATATATTCGTTCATCACATTTTTTTTTTTTTTTTTTTTATGTATACTCTTCCCTGAGTGGTCGAGTAGACAAGAGTCTCGACTACCAACTCAATGGTCGTGGGTTCAAATCTCAAGTGCAATAGAGTTTTTAATAAAGCCTTAGATGCTAGTGCTTTAAGCGTTTAGTCTTAGAATTTATTCTCTGGCTAAATTTAATAATAGTAATAACAATAATAATATATATACTCATTTTATTTTTGTTTATATTTTACAGTAAATATAATTCTACTTATTTGCTTATTATATTTAAAAAAAGTGATGAGCGAATATACTGGAAACGTTGATGTTAGCCTAAGCTGAAAATCAAATTTTTGCCGAATAATGCCACAATAACGGCGAAGCGTAATTAGAAACGTTCGGTATCATGCAATTGTCGGTATAAGAGAAAACCTAATGTTTACAAAAAATTTAATTGCGAAAATATTTGCAAAATAATAAATTACTATTAATATTTTATCATTTATTATACCTTACATTCTTGGTAATATAAAGGCATGTTAATACCTAGAAGTACCTCAGAGAGATCCACCTGCTATTGCACCAATCGACTCAGAATCACTTTCTGAATCAACGTAAGGTCTGTGTGTCTTGTTTTTTGTGTTGAACCTAAGTAACGCAATTTTTGAGATATTTTGATGGCATTTGCTACACCGACTTGTTTTAACCTAATAACGAACGCTGAAAGTGGTTTCGATCGATAGCACCCTATCGTGACAGGTTGGTGTATGAGTAATTGTACTAAACAAAACGGTGTAAGGTATTTAAGGGTGAAAGCTGGCCAATTTTATAGTTTCTACTTGTTTTTATCTCTTTAGTCCAGCTCACTGCCGTTTTTTTGAACAAAGCTATATGCAGCATATGCAGACGTATACATTTATACATTTTCAATATTGTTTGCATTTATAATTCTGTACACTTTTTTGTTCGCTTAATTTTTATTCTAATGGTAGATATTATTATTGCTATTGTTATTATTGCGAGAGAGCTATTGGCTATATTTTCAATTAAACATAGCATCACACATTCGCACATTTTTAACACTTATTAAAAATTAATTTTTTACTTTACGGGGTAACTGTATATTAATAAATATTTTGTTTTTTCTGGATAATGATTTTCTCTTTTAATGTCTTTTGTTAAGGAATGGAATGATTACAAATTGAAGTGGAATCCCGATGATTATGGCGGCGTTGACACGCTGCATGTACCCTCAGAACACATTTGGTTACCGGACATAGTGTTATATAATAAGTAAGTACTCGCAATTAACGGTGTAAGATAACTTCCTTAGTTTGGATTAATTTGTCAAAAAAAAAAGAAAAAAATTAAAGCCAGATGGGAAATACGTGTACTCCGTACATTTCCAGCCGAGAAGAATGTCATCTATTGACTGCTTTACTTGATTTATGTATGAGTAACCTTATAAACGATACGGCGAAAGCAGATATTATTTCAATGGCAGTTTATATGCTCGCAAATGCAATTTTGTGCACATTTAATATGTCACAAAGCAATTGCCTTAAATACAAACATTTATATAGTATTTAGAGCAGCAAAAGTTTTTAACTGATTTTGGGATCACTTTACAGTTTAAGCCTTTCACTTTCTTCTACCTCTTCAAACAACTACATTGAACAAGATGTATCGGCTAACTCCATGGGGGAGGCTATTTTCACTTAAACTTCGGCAATAAATGATGATGTTTCCCATAACTAACAGTATAAAATATAGAATATATTGTATATAGTATGCTATCTACGTTATCTATATCAAATATAAAACATCGCATAATAATAAATAGCAAATATCAGTTATTACATATTGAATAATATGTATATATATATATATATATATATATATATATAGTTTTTCAATGCCTACGTGTCCTGAGTCGCTTTAAGAATGTCTATTCGGGAGTCCAACTGTCAATTTGCCATTTTTTGTAGAACCTTCAGGTTCCATAGCAACCCATAAACTTGCCCATAACTTTCAATTTCTGGTCGTACAACACCTTTAAGACTAAAATACTAGCGATTCGCCTGCAACCAGTTTTGGAATCGATACAATTTGTTTCCTTAGATGAAATAAATTAGAGCTTTTAAGTCAGCGTGATACTTGTGGAAGAACTGGCGCGTAAGCTAAGGTCTTTGTTTTGTGATAGCATAACATAAAATGCCTTTGCGATTTAACGTTCCTGTCCTTTTGAGATTAAGTTCATGCCGCTGAATTGTGATTTAGTAAGTTAACGTAGACTTTATTCACAATCCTTGGACGATGTACTTTTATAGCAACTTATATTTTAACGTTTTAATTTTTCTTCTGGTTTTGTCCGCTCGAAAATAACTCTCCCGACTCAATCGATTTTGTCTTCTGCAAATATTCTGTCTGTATACCCTTTTACAAGCAAGTTGGTTACAATACTTTTATGTTAATGCCTTCTTGTTGCTATTCACGAGTTGCGTACTCATGCAGACCAATTTCATCAAATATGGAATTTTCGTAACAATAATTATCATAATAATTTGATTTAAATCGAATACAAATTTTCTACTCTTTTTACACATTTAGTTCAGATGCTTTCGTGTCAGCGAGGACACTGCCGGACGATATTTCGGCCGCTTACGTTCATACTAAAATATTGCATAAACATTTGATTCCCATGAAAGTAAAAGAACATAGCACGGTCAATGGCGACCATTACTAAGTAGCGGATTACCTTTTTGTTCGCAGTTCCCTCTATATGAGCGTGGAGTAGAGAAGGGTTTAGTATCTAAAAAATAAATTATAATGCCATGGAGAGTAAAAAAATTAAGTGAAAAAAATTTTTTTAAATAAGTTTAATTTTAAGGAACGAAAAGATAAGAAATAAATATTTTCCTAGAGTCAATTTGATGTGAGTAGAGGCACATAAAAGCAACTCTAAAAAAAAATTTATTTTCTCCATCTTTTAGTTCAACAAAGTAAAGATTTTTGTAAAAAAAAAAATTTTACATAGTTTATTTTACTTCTCCTTCCTCCCTTTTTAATAAGAAAAAGGAAGTCGGAAATCCATAAAAATATATTTTAACGAATTAATTGCTCATAAACTGGAAAACATTTGGTTTAAAAATATGTAAAAAGTAAAATATAGGAAAAAAAATATATAAAATGAAAATTAAGTCCATTCGACAATCAGTGGCTAGAAAAGAAAATTTCAAAACTTAGTTCTTGTAATATTTACAATTGTTGTGGCAAAAAATATATACGATGATGAAGTGCTTACTAAAAGTCATTTCCTTTGTTCTGTTTCTGACTACACCATGGTGAGGGAGGTCGAGAAATTTTCATCAACATTTTCGCATCGTTCTGTGCTTAACACCGCCACCTTCTTTTTTTCGAGAACTTTAGCCAAGTAGTCCGCATACTGCATCACAATTACAGTTTCGTTTTCTTGCAAGCATTGCCGTTGTTGTTTGAAGCAAAATGAAATTTAAGCCATGCTAGCAATAAATTATAGATTTTTATAACGCACAGGCTCAAGCAGCAAAAATTAGAAAAAGTGCTTAAGAACAAAAAATTGTAATCCTATTAAGTGGAACCTTATAATACGCGTCATTTTTGTTGACTGCAGGATAGATCAAAGGCCCGTTTATTTTACATTCAATCAAGCGTTTGTATTTAAAATTATACTTTTATGCGATGCAACGTTTGGTATGCCGGAAAATATATGTCTCCATGAAAAATGCAAATGTAATTAAGAAGATTTTATTTACCTTGAGATGTAGTTCATTCCCACCAAGGAAAAATCGATTTGTGTTTAATTGGCATTTCTTATTGTCCAATTCTGATTCCGTTGTTAAACGCATGCACAAAGAGAGAAGTGAGAAAATGAGATTCCACACCTACGTTCAAGCATATCAATCGAAAAATACATTTTTTATTAACTAGAGAAGATATCGAGCTACAAATGTTTATGAGCATTATCTAGAAGTGTCAATTGGGAAACCCACGCTCAATGGTTTGAAAATATATGCAAGTTCCAAGACATCCAAAAGTCAACTCATCATGAATATCATGATCATATTAATAACTGATCTGAAGACTTCTCAATTCAACGCTTGCAGCTTTGGGAAAAAGAACAACGCGACAAAATGTGCTCACAACCTCAATCTCACCACGAGTTCCAGTGTTAGTTTACAAATTTGTAAATATGAAAACACCAAATTAATATATCTTTAAGTTGTAAGTGGATAAAAACATGAAAACATGAAAAAAGTATTGCTTATGAACTTGAATATGAAATAAAACACAGACGTTTTCTTGCATATAAAAAAGTGCTTGCGATTGGGGTAAAGTAGCGGCACGACTTCTAGTAAGCCATCTAATATTTTACACGTGTATCGCGTGAAATGTAAGAAGTTGTTAATTAAAAATGTGAAAAAATTGCTGAAAGCATTAAAAATCCTCAAGTAACCACGCGGTCACTTAGTCGTTAATGTTATATGCTTTTGGATTTTTTTTTTTTCATGAGTTTATGGAAAAGAAACATTCTAAAACAAATTGGTGATAAGTTATTAGGCTAAAGCTTTTTGGAGTGTTTTATATGATAAAACAGCAACTGCCTCGAGAGCTGATAGTTTTATCGATCTCTTTGCAGCCTATCATTGTTAAGCTCCATATTTGGAAAGTCACTACAGAGCTAAATGGGTTTAATCCATTTCCAGTACAATAATTCAAAGTCACAAGAGAGAGCACATGCAAAGAAACACAAATTAAACTAGCTAGGCTTAGATAATGCCATGACTTCGTTAAAAGATTTCACAAGTCCCAATTTCATGTAATGAAATAACTGTTCAAATAACTGGGACGGAGACACTCATCAAACGAAACACTGACAACGAGTTTTGTAAAATTAAATGTAGCCGCAGAGAACTTTTATGCCCTACTTCATTAACAAACGGATAGATAAACGTGTCGTTGATAAGCTACAGACACTCAACACAATTACACGGTTACACTGAGGATATACGCATGCTAAAAACCTTATAAATACAAACAAACGGGCGAAGCTTATTTACTGGACGGACTGGTATTATGCTCAGAGCGACTCCGTAGCCTGCTCTCCGTATGGTCCTTACCTGCCCATCATTTTATATGGGAGACGCCGACAGCAACTTTTTGTCTTCTCGCTTATTCACTCTACATTCTCTCTACGTCTCTCTGCCTATCATTCAGGCATGCCAGTTTTCCTTTAAGACTGCCATTCATAGCCGTGGTTAGCAATCGGAAGGCCACAAAGTTTGAAGCAACCACTTAACATGTAAAGATTTCACCAATAAGAACCCAAACAATTTGTACGATCTTAAGGCATGGATATCTAAGTTAATACTAATATACTATTCCTATATCTAACTTTTCTTATTCGCAAGGGTTTAAGTAATGAATATGAAATAGATTTCTCTTTAAATCTTTATAAACAATATTTGCTCAGCTACTATTCGGCAGGAGTTTATAGAACTTATCCTACTGCTGTACAGTAGAATAGAATCAAAATCTTCTCAACATCATTTGCATACAGTTCTGTAACGAGCAACTTGAGCACCAAACCCAGCATATAAAACGTTATCGCCTGAAGATGAGCAGCAAGTCTTAAATACGATGCAAATGCTTTAATGGCATTTTTTAACATCCCCACCAAATGATGCGGGTATATTCACCTGGTCAAATTGTTTGCAACATCTTCAGACACCCTCTGAGTAGTGAAAGTTGTCCCATGTTTGGACCTCACATGTCCTTGGCTTCGGAAGGGAGATTGTTAGAATTACGTTAGTGCTAAGGTACAATTTCTATGTTAAGCGACTTGACAAACGACGGGTTTGGGGAAACCAAATCACAAAACAGATGCATTCTGATTGGGATATGGTAAGATTGTCAAAACAAAATCTTGAAGGAAGTCCGAATCAGGTGACTGCCATCGTCGTCCGAGTCGAGAGCGACAATTTCCGTGTTGGAAAGCTCTTCTCTAGCGAATAGCCAAACGACCAGTACGTCGTTCTCTCCGATTTCTTGTTTTTCCTTTTTCGTAGTGTGTTAGAAATTTTATTAAAATTTTGTCAACTTCTTTTGTCAACAATTTACGCGTAATCAAGAAGCGTCCCCTCGTCTACCCATCACCTTGTTTATTTATCGGTTATAAAATGAATGGGTACATGCATAAAAAATTCGGCTACAGTTGAATATAATTTTCTTACTTGTTTTCTTTTTAAAGGGAT